AGGGAGGTATCCTCTGATAAGACATGTGCAGTGTTTGTGTTTTGATGTCTGGACTTACACTTTGAACATGTACCACATCTGGTAATTTGTTTGAACTCAGAACCAGCATTCTTCCCACCACTGCGACCTCTTTATCTGGAGTCACAATATTAGGGTAAATTAAACCACATGCAGTGAGTGAAGTAACCAGTGAAATTTACCACAGGAGGTCACACTGGGTTGGAATGAGGATGGGCGGAGAAAAATATTCAGGAACAAAGGAAGGGCGAGTTAACAAACAAAGGATTTTGTTCACAACATCTTGAAACTGTTGCTAATTAGATGCAATTTAAAACATAAACTGGCCTCCGACACAAGATGTGACCTCTTAACACTGGTAAATGCAGCCCAGCTGAGGTCTGTTTACCTGAAGCAGCCTGTGAAATACTGAACTTCACACTACACAGTCAGAGGCAGCAGTATTTGGCAGTGGGTTTTAAATGCATTGAGATCTAAACGCCTCCTAAACAATAGCCTAAGCTCAATTATCACCATCTCACACTAATCACACATGATAAATACTTTATATATACTGTACACTTGGACTGCTACTTGGCAAAACCAGCATCTGACAGTACCAGAGAATGAAAAATTAATGGGGCAGGGTGACCACTTAGGAAGAATTAAAGGGGGAGGTTCACTGCCCAAATACGAAGATGAAATGGATTTGAATTGATCACACTAAATGAATATTCCTGCAGAGTGACTCCGAGCTTGTCTGTTCCTATGTTTTTATGTTAAAGGTTTTATTTTTGATATTTGTATCATTTTATCACAGAGCAGATTTAGTTGGGGGCAGCATGGTGGCTCAGTCGTTAGCAGCCAGGGACCCAGGTTCAATTCTGCCTGTGTGCAGTTCGCACATTCTCCCCACAACTGTGTGGGTTTCTTCTGGGTGCTCTGGTTTCCTCCCACAGTCCAAAGATATGCCGATTAGGGGTATTGGCCATGTTAAATTGCCCACAGTGTCGAGAGATGTGTAAGTTGATTGGCCATGGGAAATACAGAGTTACAGGGAAAGGGTGGGGGGTGAGCCTGAGTGGGATGCTTTGGAGGGTCAGTATGGACTTGTTGGGATGAATGGCCTGTTTCCACACTGTTGGGATTCTACGATTCTACTTGTTAATGTGTTCAGTGAGAGAATTGCAATCTTCTCCACAAGTGTCTACTGGTATTAAATGGGGCTTAACTTCTTCCAGCCATTCACATCGGTGCAGACAGAGATTCACGTTAAGTACAAACGAACAGTGCACAGAAATGCAGGAGCTAGTACCACAAGGACTGATTTATTCCAGCAAGTAAATTGTTTTCACTTTGATGTTGAGACCAGGAGAATTCCAACAGCCAAGCAAGGGATGTCAAGACCATGGAGCATGTTCGGTGGCAGTCGCTGTCTGCTATGATTCAGTGCGTAGCACTCTTGCCTCTGAGTCAGATGCTTGTGGATTCAAGTCCTACTCCAGCACCTGAATCACGTTGCTTTGACTGAATGAGGGAGTGCTTCGTTCTCAGAGGTGCTATCTTTCGAATGAGATGGATCTGTCTTTCACCTCAGGTAAGCATGAAAGATCCCATGGTACCATTCGAGGAAGAGCATCCTAGACCTGACCAGCATTTGTTCATTAACCAACACCTAAAACAGATGGTGTGGCATTGTTTGTTGAGCTTGCTGTGCATAAATTCACTTCTGTGTTTCCTGTGTTACAACAGATACTAGCTTCAAAATCAACATCATTAGCTAGAAGGATCTTTGAGGTAATGAAATGTACCATTTAGCATCTTCCTTTTAGTATTTATAGTTTAGTTTTCAGTGATTGGAGTTGCAGTTTCGTACAGGCTCTGGTACCTCAAAACAAAATCCCAGTTTTACAACATTAATCCCACATCAGCTTCTCTACCAGGACAAGGCAAAGATCAAACCTTTTTTTTTAAAAGATTGATTAATTTTGAAGTTGCAGTCCAGTCAGATTATAAAACCTGATGTGTGCACATTGAGTGGAGTCTTTAACACATTAACCACATCAAAATGATTTCCTCCTCCTCTATAAGGTTACATTCCCATTAACTGTGAATGACTCTATCTACATTGTAAGTAACTTGCAGGTGATCTGACCATTGCATAATAGAAATACTGGTAGAACTGATCAAGGGGTTGCAGCAGAGAGAAATGATTTAAGTCCTTTTGCTTCCTCTTGCAACATTAAACTCCAATATTGAGGTGGCATGTGGCCAGAATACGAATCTATTAAACCCCGCCTTCCCCACATCGTAGAATAAACAATCAAATCCTATTGAAACCCAAGCCACAGGGAATGGTGCTAATGTTAACTCACAACTTCCTCAAAGTATGTAATGCTGGGTGTATCAATGACTTTGATTTGCCAAACCAAACCCTGCCTAAATTTGAAGAAAATCTTACAGTTTAACAATGCATGGGGGTTTGGAAGAGTAGGAGTATTGGGTAGGAGATGTGAATAGTTAAATGAAAGGGTGCTGCATGGGTGGTTGGTTAAACGGAGTTTGAAGGAGAGGTACTGAGCCACTTTCATAAGAACACTGAACAGCACCAAGCACTATAATGGGGAAGTTAGTTCTTCCAAAATTAGGTCAGCTCTTAAGAGGACACTTTAAACCGTAGTCAGTGACAGTGTCAGTGGTAAAGCAGTTACAGGTAACCAATTAAGTGCAATCTAAAGATATTTTGCTGAGATGCATTGTCACCAACACACCAATAAATTTCAACACATTTTCAGGACTCACAGACAGCACCAGTCAACATTAATGTTTGTACTGTACACGGCACCCTTAGAATCGGTTGAGAAATGTCACTTGTGAGGGAGATTAGGGCTGACTGCCATCTCCAGCATACTTCACCCCACCCACAACAAATTTCATTAAATATAAATTCCTTTTTGTTCTTCTAGAACTGTACAGTTAATGTTTAGCTTCTCAAGTGCTAGTCCTATTTATTAAATGCATAAAGATTGTCACACGACATAATTGACAAGAAGTCTTAACATCAGCATCATACACCAGGCTATCAAGACCAACAAAGTCACTCAATCCAAAACCCTTACGCTGGCATTTCAACCAAGTATGGCTTCATAAGGTGAATTTAATGTGTTTCTATTCTTGTCAATCTAGTTTAATAACAAAATAATTCAGCCTCAATAAATCAGTCAAACAGACTTATAAACTTGTGTTCTGCCCATGAGGGCACACATCTACTCTTGATATGTGTGCACGTGTTTTATATGATATAATCGTTATAATACAGTGATACAAAATACATGATCTGCTACTGATCTACGTCACAATAAATCTCCACAACCTTGCTGCACTCAAATCACAATTTGATTATTCAGTATCGATGTTGTGAAGGTTTCCACAGAAGTTGCTTCTCCTCCTTCTAACTATACATTAGCTGTAATTATCGTAACACGAGCATATCTTTCCTGGGTTTAGGTGGGTTCCTTTGGCTTATGTCTTCAGCTGAGCCAATTTATAAGGTCGTACTCATCAATAACTTTGCAATGAACCTACATAAGAATTAGCTTAATATTGACAATTAAAGATAAATCAATAAAACTACAATTTTGCAAAAAAACAGTCTAATTCAATCTTGAAAGATTTGTTGTAGGTCTTAATCAACTTTCAGACCATTGGATCAGTGTCAAATTTAAGGATGAAACCATTACGATATTAGTTTAGCAACTGCGCAGGCCTCAATGCAGAGCAGCAGTAAGCCATGAGTTAATTTACATTCAATGCAGACAGTAATGAAATGAGGGAACTCCAGGGTCATCGTATTAAATCATGATTTAACTCCTTGCCCTTAGGTAAGGGTATCATTTTGCCAAGATTAAAGATGGGAGGGATGGGCTTAAGGCTCAAATTCTGAGGTGTCCTTCAATGATTCGTGGAATTAGCTAGGGGAAAAAAGTACTCATTTTAAACACCATGTTCATCCAGCACTTCTCATAATTGGACATGTCCCTATACTGGTGGTGGTAACCCAGCTGTCAGCTAGTACTGTAAGGGCTAAGAGAGGGGGACAACAATAGAGTGCATCAGTTAAATATGCAATCTGACATTCACTTAAATTGTAGTAGTAGGGCATTTAGCCAAATGAGTAAAAGGTAAATTTAAAAGTATGACTATCCAAGGGTAGTGCATGTCTCCAGATTGTCTGTTGTCATTCTAATAGAAGATCCATGCTAATCCCTGGACAAACAGCAGTAGCAGTGTTCATGCCATCTCTCCAGGTTTCCACAGATCAAATATTGATACTTCTCGAGGAAATTTAATTCCCGAGACTGATCACTGTGACACAGTATGATCAATGCTTGCAACGGGCCTTCCTCATGGAATGGAACAGCAGGAAATCATGAAATTAGAGAATCAACTGGACACTAACAAGAAGCACGAATGATGTTTTTGGAGGAATTATTTAAGATGGACTGAATAGTCTTCCTCATCTCCAATTAATTTGTGATTCTTCTGTTTATACATTGCTCCCAATGCAATCATTTTTAAATGTTTAGTTTCATTGGTTACTGGTGAGCAAATATGATGAATTTTATTAGTATATAAACACTTGAAATGCCTATCTGATATTTCCTTCAAAAGGACTAAGTCCCATTAAAATACTGAAAAAGATCATCTGACATAACCTCACAGCAATATCACAGTGTTTGATAAAGGATGTATTTGAATGAAACCAGTTGCAATTAAGAAACCAGTGCGATGTTCATGATTTGCATGTTGAACGCATTAGGCCTCAGAAGGTGAACATAACTGGCTTTCACTGAACCTGTGAGCACAACAGTTATAGTTTGGTTATTGACATAAGCTTAAATGTTGGATAACTTCACTGAAAGAAAGATTGGTACTTTACTGCTTAAATCCCATCAGAAGAACAGAACGAGTTCCCTGAAAGACAGCTGCTGGAAATGAGTTTGAGAGTTTCCCCTTCGAACACAACTACAATGCAACACACACTAGAATATTCTACTTAGAGACCTTGGTCTGCAGTAATATCTTAATAGAGGGGCAGTTTCTAAACTTGACAACCTAACTCGGATTGAAATAATAAAAGATCTCCATGATAATGATAAGCAGTCACTTTAAGAATCCTTTTTTCCATGGTCACATTATGGAGTATAAATAACCTTCAAATGAAATCAAGGCCAGTGTGACTATCAATAAATATCAATAGCTTATTCAGACCTTCAAGAGTGCAACTGATCTATCCTCAAGTTGAAATGAATCCAGGATTGGACATAAAAAGACCATCAGAGTGTCTCCAAATCAGGTGAAAGCATGATACTGGTGTTCAGAACAGATCTAGATTGCACACAGCTCCTCTCACTGGTAATCCTCTTATTAATTATTTTACCCACTAAAATCATTTGTGATCCCTTATGATCATTATACCCCACCTTCAATCAGTGGTTGCTTAAAATGCAATAAAACCTGGAGTAGGTGTCACCACTACTCTAGAACACCTGTTAGACACACAATATTAGAAATGTATTCCACAGAATAAGAACTATGAGGTTACTTCATCATAGAAAGGTACCTCTTGATGGTTCCAATTGGAGAGTCAGCCGTACAATGTTGTGAACAAAGCAATTGGTTCCTTTCATACTTGCTGTTATTGCCTTCAGTTTGTGCTGAAGCAATGTTAATGGAATCCGTTACATCATTCTCCAAAATTGATGAAATATCCTCCTAACTACTGAGACACTCTTAGCTACTAACTCTTATAATTAGTACTATGCAATTAAAAATCCAAAGTTCCTATATTCAATAATAAAAAAAAACTTCAGCTTTTATCTTCCATGAAACCTGCCTTCACATTGAGGTCCTCAAGAACAGCTCGCAGACACCCCAGTCTGCGCACGGATTTTAAACCAGGCCTGTGGGTAGTTTAGAATTTTCCATTGCAGGAACTTTCCAAGAATCTTATTTAGCGCTCTCTGGTTTTCCCAGAATTCCAACAGCTAACTATTCAGTCTTGTCTTTTGCATAAGGACTTCAGGATGAAAGAAAACCCCGAACTTTCCTGTCTTGACCTGGATTGGCAACATTCCGCAGAAATAAAAATTCCGATTTCTGATCCTTCTACTCAAAGAGAAAAAGGCCCTAACCTTTCCACACCATTCTCCTGTGACTTCCATAAAGCCTTTCTTTGTTGGAACAAGATACAACAGAGATGTTTTCTGCTTCTTCTTAATCCCTTCCGAGACCCTCTGTTTGCCTCCAGCCCTGAGGAGACGTCGTTCTCGATAAGAGCGGTTACAAGTGATTATTCCAATTCTGAGCTTCCCTATGCCTCACAGGATGTCATCATAGTCCAGCAGCTTTGAGTGCTGCCTAGATTTCCACAGTCTATACAGACGGAAGTCAAAGTATGTCTCGATCATCCGCTTCCCTGTAATTCAAAATAACAACATACAATAAACAGGTTCAACAAAGATAATGGTCAAAGACATGCCAGTAAAACATGACCAAATTATTTCAGATCTTGTCATTCCTTATTATTCAGCACTCAGGAAGTCCACACTTTGTAAATTTCTTAAACCTTTGGAAATTATTCTTTTAAAAGTTGTTTCTAACGAGCCTTTTGAGAGAACAGGAAATTCTCAACATATCCCTGTGCTGAAATCTTCAATGAAACTATTAAGACCTCTGGTCCTCACCCTTTACAGTCCTTATAGCCCCTCCATGCTGATTCAACTTTCAAACTGTGATCTCAGGGCACCCAAGAAAACTGTAGTTTTGAATCTCCAATCAATCATTTATAATGGACAATAACAGCCTTCTGGAAATGTTAACAAAAAACTCTAAGGAACTGCACAAATATATGGTAATGATATTCTTACCTACGCCGGATGGCCTGCCAATCAAAGCTGTTCAGTAGACAGTGCTTTCTTAAACTGACATTGCCAGTTACAACCTGTTTCATCCAAGATTGGGGTGGCACGGTGGCTCAGTGGTTAGCACTGCTACCTCACAGTGCTACAGACACGGGCTCGATTCCACCCTTGGAGTTTGCACATTCTCCTTCTGTCTGTGTGGGTTTCCTCCAGGTGCTCTGGTTTCGTCCCATAGTGCAAAGATGTGCAGGTCAAGTGGATTGGCCATGCTAAAGTGGCCACAGTATCCAGGGATATGCAGGCTAAGTGGGTTAGCCATAGGTTACAGGTATAGGGTTGGCGGGTGGTGAGTCTGGATCGGATGCTCCTTAGAGGGTAATGTGGACTCGATGGGCCGAATGGCCAGCATCCACACTGTAGGGAGTCTATGTTTCTTAGTATGAAGGGCTTGGAATTTTTAAAAAACCTTCAGATTTTAGCAGCTTTGTCGACCTTACCTGCCCTTCTAGCGCATTTACATTTACTCTATCAATTTGTGACTCCCATACTGCATGGTAAAGCCCTTGTAAAGATAGAAAACAGGAGCAGGAGTAGACCACTTGTTCCGTCAAGCCCTACTTCACTATTCAGTATGATCTAATTCAGTCCCCTGTTCCCATTTTCTCCCCATTCTCTTTGATTCCTTTAGCCCTAAGAGCTATCTTGGACACATTTTTGAAAACATTCAATGTTTTGGCCTCAACCACTTTCTGTGACAGAGAATTCCACAGGCTCACCACTCTCTACATGAAGAAATTTTGCTTCATCTCAGTCCTAAATGGCCTACCCTGTACTCTTAGATTGTGACCCTGAGGTCTGCTTCTTCAAATAGACCTGGTGAGTTCCATTTTCCCTCTTGTGCAGTTGTATTCAATCCCTTCCTCCTGGTGCAATCATTGCATCTTGTCAGAAAGGGAGGTGGTGGGGGGAGTACATCCATATCGATGTCCCACATTTTAAAGATTTGTGTAGCAAAAATCTAGCCCTGTCTGTTTATTTGGCGTGGAGAGACTTTTTTTATTTCTCTGTTTTGTGCTCAGATCAGGTTTCATAAAATGAGAAAATATCACGAACCTAAGCAAAATCTTTTCAGCAATATAAATCCATTGGCAGTAATTTTTAAAAAAGAACAAACCTCCCATCTATTAGCTTGTGACAGTGAAAATCCCTAACCTTCGGCAGGCTTTAAAAAGCCTCAATCATCTGAACATTTTTTCTAGTGAACATTTAAGAATTTACTACACTTTTGATAGAACAGGAGCACCTCATTCATACCTTGTGCTGAAAGCTCCAACGGAGATTCAAAGGATATTCGGTGAGGAGTCATCAAATTAGACAGGCTCCGAAAAAGCTGAAAGCAACAAGCAATAGTTTAAATGTATGAAGGACATCAAGTCCACAAGCTCAATGACATAGTTTCTAAGACAGTGTGACCATTAGCTCACAAATCATCTTTTTAAGTCCATGATCCCTCTAGATCTATAGTAATCCAGCTAAAATAATCTTTGTTTACAGGCTCATAAAACTGCTCCCTCCATAGACTAATGGCGCAAACAACGTTCACCTCTTGGTGGAAGATCAATGCCCTGCATTGTAGCACAAGCCCAATATCTTGATGAAAAGAGAAGTGCTGCTGAAGCTGTTTGTCGTGTATTCATCAGAACAAATGCAAGAATGCTACATTTCAAATGATTACACTAATTTACCCTACAGGAGAAAAAAATGGTTAGCCAGTTGACTCTGATTGGCCGAGGTATTGCCTTTGGAGAAAGCAAAAGGGCTCCCCAAGCTCCCAATTATTTCAAAAAAGATTCAAGGTTTGAACACAAGCCACTTGTATATGCAGAGAACGTGTCCCTGTGTGTGAATGCACATCACCTCTAGTGATCTTAACTGAATCACATTGCAAGCTCAACTTGTTACTTTAAATCAGGTGCTAGCGTAGCTATTACTGAACGTATGCAGGATTATTCAGCAAGGTGCTACTTAATGATGTGAGAACATCTAATGGTAGCCATTATGTTTTGGATTCTATAGGTGAGGGCTGTATGAGTAGGTTTTATACTGTGTCTGTCTACTATTAGATGTGCTTCCATGATTGGCAGTATGTTACAATGCAAGCCAGTCACCTCACTTAAAGAGATACCTGGCTGCTGATCCTCAATCCTCTCCTCATCAATATTTTGTACATTGGACCTGCTGATCAGATTCAATCATTTGTAGCAAATTTGTTGAGTAACTATGTGAATGAGAACAATGGGTGGCATTGTGGGGGTTACAGATTGAGAAAAAGAGACAGATAATCTCAAAAACAGAGAGTGGAAAAAAGAACAGTCCCAGAGAGAGAGAGATAGGGGAAGGGAGATGACCAAACTTTTAGAGACAGAAGAAGAGGCCAAGATGGATGGAGTGAAAACATGTTTGAAGAAATATGTGGACTGAACTGTCAGACAGAGGGGGGACAGAGAAGGATAGGGTAAGGTGCAGCTTTCTCAATGAAAGAGAGAGTTGGACAGAATTCTGTATCTAAGAGTACTGTTTTCAAATTATATTTTTACTCAGAAATGGTTTCAGCTCAAAAGGGAACAACTTGGTCCTATGCTGGCCCTTTGCAAAACTTAATCACCTAGTCCCACTTCCTTGTTTTTTCCCTGTAAGCCACCCAAATATTTCCTCTTCAGGTAATCATCAACATTCTTTCAAATGAACCAGCCTCAGGCAGAGCATTCCACATCCTAAACCCTTGCAGATTAAGAACAGATTCCCCTCCTGTTGCTGTAGCCTCTTTTGATAATCATCTTAACCTGTGTCCTCTACATCTTGATGCTTCCATCAATGTGGCGCATGTGGACACAGTTACAATGTTTAAAAGACATTTAGATAAGTATATGAACAAGAAAGGTTGGAGTGATACAGGCTAAGCGTAGGCTGGTGGGACTAGTTTAGTTTGAGATTATGGTCAGCATGGATTGGTTGGACCAAAGGTTCTGTTTCCGTGTTATATGACTCAATGACTCTACATCAGGATACAGATCTTTGCAAAGGGCAGTGGAAATCCATAAGCTCCTCTTCCTACAAAGATTGAATTCAACTAATTCAAAATTTCAAAATGGAGATGAACAGATTTTTGTTTGAGATGGGTAATAAAGGTTACAGAATTGAAGAGCAATTAAGATACAGATAACAGAATATCGGAAGAGGCTTGTAGGTTGAGTGGCCTATTCCTGTTCCAGCATTGGTGGTTAGCACTGCTGTCTCACAGCACCAGGGTTCCAGGTTCGATTCCAACCTCAGGCGGCTGTCTGTGTGGAGTTTGCATGTTCTCCCTGTGTCGGCGTGGGTTTCCTCTGGGTGCTCTGGTTTCCTCCCACAGTCCAAAGATGTGCAGGGTAGGTGGATTGGCCATGCTAAATTGCCCATAGTGCCCAGGGATGTTTAGGTTAGGTGGGTTAGACACGGGAAATTAGGGGAATGGGTCAGGGTGGGATGCTCTTCGGAGGGGTGGTGTGGACTTGTTGGGCTGAATGGCCTGTTTCCACACTGTAAGGATTCTATGATCTAATAAAAAAAGAAAGAAAGATGCAATGAGAAAGGAATGAACAGAAACAAAAGGAGACAGAGTGCCATAGGCAGAGAGCGGAAAAGGCAGTGAAGAAGAAACAGGCAGAGACAAAGGCATTTAGAGAGACGTAGGAAGACAGAGACAGCTAGGCAAACACAGGGCTTTATAGAAAGACAAACAGGTTGCACGGAGACCAATGTCAAGTCAGAGATACACAAGAAGAAAGACAGTGCAAAGAGAAACATAGCCAGAGACAGATACAGAAAGAACTGGCTGTAAGGTTGTAGGCTGACAATGGCAAGTGATACTGGAGTGACATAAATGCCAGGTAATGACCATCCCCAAACAGAGAGAATCTAAACATTGCCTCTTGACATTTAATGGCATTATATCACTAAATCCTTTACTATCAACATCCCAGGGATTACCATTGACCATAAACAGAGGTAGACTAGCCATATAAATCCAACAGCAGGTCAGATGTTAGAAATTCTGCAGCGACTGACTCACTTCTTGACTCCCCAGAGCCTATCCAACATGGGTAAGACACAAGTCAAGAGTGTGATGGAATACTCCCACTTGACTGGATGAGTGCAATTCCAACAACACTCAAGAACCATAACACCGTCAAAGCAACCCGCTTGAATGGTACCATCTCCACAAATACTCACTCCCTCCACCACTGATTATCAGTCCACCGATGCTCAGTAGCACCAGTGTGCACTATCTACAAGATGCACTGCACAAATTCACTGAGGTTCCTTAGACAGCACTTTCCAAACCCATGTCAATTACCACCTAGATGAACAAGAGTGACAGATTCATGGGAACACCATCACCTGCAAGTTGCTCCTAAGCCACTTACTAACCTGAAATATATGACTGTTCCTTTAGTATCTTTGAGATCTCCCTCCCAAATTGCACTGTTGGTCTACCTACAGCAAGTAGACTACAGCAGTTCAAGAAGGCAGCTCACGACCTCCTTTTCCAGGGTAGTAAGGGATGGAAAATAAATACTGGCCTAGCCAGTGAATGCCATACCCCATGAAGAAATTAAAACAGATAGAAGTGGACAGGCAGACACAGGGTAAGTGAGAGACAGAGAGAAAATTAAAGTCATAGAGTCAGGCAAAAGACAGAATGACACAGACATGGTGGTAGTGCTAGACATAGACAGAATATCACAAAGATAGAGAAGGAAAGAAATGCAGTTGCTGAGGAAATCAACAAAGAGAGATCACTCTCGGGAGGCAGAGACAGTGTTTGAGAGAGAGTCAGAAAGATCAAAGTAAGCAGAAATAGACAGAGACAGACTGAAACCTATAACAATGGCTGCAGTCTCAGTGGACAAAAAGAAGCAGTCAAACAAAGGAAGAGGAATAGGAGATGGTCTACAACGGACAGTGTGTCAATCAGGGAGATAAAAATCTGATTGTCGATTAAGTGGCTGATGAGATCCTTTTATGGCTCATAATAACATCTGAGGTGTTAAAAGTACATTACTTGTAAAATGTGTTTATCTCTTCTTCCAAATTATCTTCACAATTGGACAAATGTCATGTGCCTGTTGCTTGCAGCAAACAAAATCATTTTATCTTTAGGGTAATCTGGACAAGACTAAATTGACAGTTACAATTGCCTTTCCTTCAGGCAATTCAAAGAAAACAAATATCAAATGTAGATTTACAAAAGGAGTCACGTCTTTAACCTTAACAACTCAGACTTATTGATCACATTTATGATCTTCACAAAAGTAGGCTGCTTTGTCAGTCAGATTTATCAAGTGTTGCTGATCAATGATGAATAATACATCACAGCAGCAGAAATGGAAAAACCTGCAGGCACTCAGCAGCAGACGGGTGGATCAAATAAATAGGAATTGCGGCTTGATTGCTTTGAGATTGCCACCAATGCTATGAGTCTTCACATGAGCACATATGGAGGCCATTCGACACATCATGGCTGTGCCAGCTCTCTGGAAGAACTATCCAATCGGTTCCATTCCCTTACTTAAGCCCAGAACTCCTGCATTTTTTTTCACTATTCAAGAATCTAACTCCCTTTGGAAGCCACTACTGAATGTGTCTCTATCATCCCTTCAGAGAGTGCATTCCAGATCAGAACTACTCACTATGTCAATTAAATTCTCCTCGCACTCTCTCTGGTTCTGCTCTGGTTGCCTGTGGAAATTTTTAGGAACACAGGAATAGGAGTAGATCATTCAGTTCGTCGAGCCTGTTCTGCCATTCAACATGATCACGGCTGATCGATTCTTCATTGCCTTTTACCCACACTATTTCCATAATCCTTTACACTACTGACAACCAAAAATGTATTCATATTTCGTTTCAATACACTGAAACACTGAGCTTCCCCAGCCCTTTGGGGACAGAATTCCCAAGATATATCACTCTCTGAATAAAAAAAACTAGTCCTCATTTCTGTCCTAAATGGCATACCTCTTATTTATAAATTGTGCCTTCTGGTTCTGAACTCCCCAACCAGGGCAAACATCTTACCTGCATCTACACTGTCTATCTCTTTAAGTATTTGTAGGTTTCAATGAGATCACTTCATATTCTTTGAAACTCTAGAGAATATAGGTCCAATTTACCCATTCTCTCTTCACAGGACAATCCTGCCATCCTAACATACAGAGCTAGTGAACCTTCATTGCATTCTATCGATGACAATAATAACTTTCCTGAGGTAAGGAGACCAAAACTGCACAAAATACTCTAGATGTGGACTAACCAAGCTTCTATAATACTGAAGCAAGACCTCATTAC